ATTTAGAGCATTTTCATCCCCTATTAAAAAACCTGGTACTCATTAGGTGTCACTCTTCATTCTCTTCTACCCCCATCCCAGCCCCAAGTAACTAGTAGTCAGTTCACCTATTGGCTATTATGACCAGTACTCATGTACAACTTTTGTGTGGATGTATATATTCAATTCTCTTGGGAATATACTTAGAAGTAGAACTGCTGAATCATATAATAGCTCTATGTTTAACCTTCTGAGGAAATGCCAAACTGTTTTCCAAAGTGGGTGTGCCATTCCCACCAGTAATGTATGAAAGTCCTAATTTCTTGATATCCTTGCCAACACTTTCTTTTTTTTTTTTTTTTAAGATTTTTCTTTATTTATTCATGAGAGACACAGAAAGAGAGAGGCAGAGACATAGGCAGAGGGAGAAGCAGGCTCCATGCAGGGAGCCCTATGTGGTACTCAATCCTGGAGTCGAGTACCTGAGCCAAAGGCAGATGTGCTTAACTACTGAGTCAGTCACCTAGGCGTCCCTATTTTCTGTCTTTTTTTTTTTTTTTTTTAATTTATTATAGTCACAGAGAGAGAGAGGGGCAGAGACACAGGCAGAGGGAGAAGCAGGCTCCATGCACCGGGAGCCTGACGTGGGATTCGATCCCGGGTCTCCAGGATCGCGCCCTGGGCCAAAGGCAGGCGCCAAACCACTGCGCCACCCAGGGATCCCCTATTTTCTGTCTTTTTGATTGTGGCCATTGTAGTCAGTGTGAAGTAGTAATTCGTTGTGGTTTTATTTATTTATTATTATTTTAAAAGATTCATTTATTTTAGAGAGAGAGAGAGACAGAAAAAAAGAGCACACCTGTCCAAAGGGAGGGACAGAGGGAGAGGGACCAAGAGAGAATCTTAAGCAGACTCCCTGCTGAGTATGGAGCCTGACTTGGTGATCAAGCCTGAGGTCATGACTTGAGCCAAAACCAAGAGTAAGTTGTTCAATGATCTGAGCCACCCAGCTGCCCCGCACTGTAGTTTTACCTTGCATTTCCTTAATGACTAATGACGCTAAACACGTTTTCCTATAATTACTGGCCATTTGTATATGTTCTTCAGAGAAATGTTTATTCAGATCCTTCTGACTATTTTAAGATTTTTTTTTTTTGACAGAGAGAGAATGCACACAAGCCAGGGGAGGGGTGGCAGGCAGAGGGAGAGGGAGAGGGAGAACCAGGCTCCCCAAGGAGCAAGGAACCCAGTGTGGGGCTTGACCCCCAGGACTCTGGGGTCATAACCTGAGCCAAAGGCAGATGCTCAGCCAACTGAGCCACCCAAGTGCCCCCTTTGACTATTTTTTAAGTTGGGTTGTCTTTTTATTATTGAGTTGAAAAAGTTCTTTATATATTTTGGATACAAGTCCTTTATAAAATGTATGATTTGCAAATGCTTCCTCCAATTCTGTGGGTTGTCTTTTCACTTTCTTGATGATACCATTTGTAGCACAGAAGTGTTTTGATTATTTTTTCTGGAAAGAGTGAGTAAGCAGGGGAGAGAAAGAATAAAGAATCTTATGCAGTGGAAGCCGAACATGGGGCTCGATCTCGCAACCCTGAGATCACAAAATCAAGAATCAGATGCCCAATTGACTGAAGCACCCAGGTGCCCCATGTAACACAATTTTTAATTTTGATGAAGACCAATTTCTGTCACTTGTGTTTTTGGTGTTCTATAAAATTGATTTTTGTGTATAATATGAAATATGAGTCAAGGGTCATTTTTTTCCTATGGATATGCAACACTATTTATAGAAAAGACCACTGTTCTGCAGTGGCATCTTTGTCATAAACCAAATGTCCATATTTGTTTTTGTTTTTAAAGATTTTATTTATTTATTTATTCGAGAGAGAGAGAGAGAGAGAGAGAGAGAGAGAGAGAGAGAGAAAGGCACAGACACAGGCAGAGGGAGAAGCAGGCTCCGTGGAGGGAGCCTGATGCGGGATGTGAACCCGGGTCTCCAGGATCACACCCCGGGCTGAAGGCAGTGCTAAACTGCTGAGCCACCAGGGCTGCCCCAAATGTCCATATTTGTGTTGGTCCCTTTCTCCCTCCCTCCCTTCTTTGTTTCTTTTCCCACTCTCCTTCCATTTTATCTCAAAGTTTTTTTTAAAGTAAGCTCTATGCTCAATGTGGGGCTAAAACTTATGATCCTGAAACCAAGTCTCATGTTCTACTGACTTAATCAGCCAGGCATCCCTGTGAAGGTCCATCCTTTAAAAATTAGATAGAACTCATTTGGGGGATGCCTGGGTGGTTCAGTGGTTGAGCGTCTGCCTTTGGCTCAAGACGTGATCCTGGGGTCCTGGTCCCACATCAAGCTTCCCTGCAGGGAGCCTGCTTCTCCCTCTGCCTATGTCTCTGCCTGTCTTTCTGTGTCTCATGAATAAATAAATAAAGTCTTAAAAAAAAAAAAAAACTCATTTGGTTCTAGTGACAATTTTAATGGTAAATTATAAAGTTTTCAATAATAAAAGTTTTCCAGTTTTTAATTTTGGTAATTTATATTTTGCTAAAAAAATAATCTAGGTCTGAAAATTTGTTGTCAGAGTTGATTAATTAAAAAAATTCTTGGGGGGCAGCCCGGGTGGCTCAGTGTTTTAGAGCCGCCTTCAGCCCAGGATGTGATCCTGGGGACCCATGATTGAGTCCCACATTGGGCTCCCTGCATGGAGTCTGCTTCTCCCTCTGCCTCTCTCTATCTCTCATGAATAAATAAATAAAATCTTAAAAAAAAAAAATTCTTGGGACACCTGGGTGGCTCAGCAGTTAAGCACCTGCCTTTGGCTCATGGCATGATCCCATGGTCCTGGGATCGAGTTCAGTGTTGAGCTCCTTGCTGGGAGCCTGCTTCTCCCTCTGTGTGTGTCTCTGCCTCTTTCTCTGTGTCTCTTATGAATGAATAAATAAATTTTTTTTAATTTTTATTTTTATTTGTGATAGTCACAGAGAGAGAGAAAGAGAGAGAGAGAGAGAGGCAGAGATACAGGCAGAGGGAGAAGCAGGCTCCATGCACCGGGAGCCCGACATGGGACTCGATCCCGGGTCTCCAGGATCGCGCCCTGGGCCAAAGGCAGGTGCCAAACCGCTGCGCCACCCAGGGATCCCCAATAAATAAAATCTTTAAAAAAATTCTTTAAAACTCTGAACATGTCTTCTTTCTTTTTTTTTTTTTTTAAGATTTTATTTATTCATTCATGAGAGACACAGAGAGAGAGGCAGAAACACACGCAGAGGGAGAAGCAGGCTCCCAGTGGGGAAACCGACACAGGACTCGATCCCAGGACCCCGGGATCACGACCTGAGCCAAAGACAGATGCTTAACAACAGAGCCACCAGGTGTCCCACATGTCTTCTTTCTTAACCGTCAATATTTTAACCTTCTGTTTTTTAAATTAGGCTCTTTAAGGGTTTTCTTATTTTTTTTTTACATTTTATTTAAATATTTTATTTAGGGATCCCTGGGTGGCTCAGCGGTTTGGCGCCTGCCTTTGGCCCGGGGCGCGATCCTGGAGACCCGGGATCGAATCCCATATCGGGCTCCCAGTGCATGGAGCCTGCTTCTCCCTCTGCCTGTGTCTCTGCCTCTCTCTCTCTCTCTCTGTGACTATCATAAATAAATAAAAAAAAATTAAAAAAAATAAATATTTTATTTACCAAAAGTCTAATTTTTGCTGTATGTTCCATAAGGTTTGGTATTATATATCCTCCTTTACTTTGGTTTCTTGTTTTTTTTTTTTTTCCTAAGATTTTGTTTATTATTCATGAGAGACACACAGAGAGAGAGTCAGAGAGAGAAGCAGGCTCCATGCAGGGAGCCTGATGTGGGACTCAATCCTGGGACTCCAGGATCACGCCCTGGGTTGAAGGCAGACAGACGTCCAACCACTGAGCCACCCAGGCATCCCGTTTACTTTGTTTTCTTAACATTCTTGATTAAGACTGTTATCTGATCTCAGAAGTGTATTTCTCAATTTCCAAGAAGCTAAGAATGTTTTAGTCCTTTTATTAGTTCTAATTTTATTGGATTAAGATCAGATGATATTGTCCATCAAATCTCTCATTTTTTTTCAATTAGTTAATATTTTCTTTGTGGCCAAGGGCATAACTAATTTTTGTAAATGTTCGACAGACTTAAGATATTCCTATTAAGTGACTCAAATTTTTCTATTAATCTTTTGAATTGAGTTTGTGTAATTCAAATATTATGTAATCTTATTATGATTCTGAAAAATGTTTACTAAAAACTTCTGCTGGGGTACCCGGGTATCTGCCTTCTGTTCAGGTCATGATCTGGGATAGAGCCCATATTGGGCTTCCTCCTCAGTAGGGAGTCTGCTTCTCCCTCTTCCTCTGTGTGCTCTCTCTGTCTTGCTCAAACTCTCTCTCAAATAAATAAATTGCAAGGAATGAGAAAAAAATAAAATGTCACCTTATCAAAAATCTATAATATTAAAAAAAAAACATCAATTTTCTGTTTTTAAGTAGGCTCCATGTTGAAGCCCCAACGCAAAGCTTAAACTCATAACCCTGATATCAAGAACTGAGCTGCGATCAAGAGTCATTTAGCCAACTGAGCCACCTAGGCAACCCCTCCTAAACCCAATTTTTATGCTAATCACAATGTATTTACTGTAGAAAAACTTTCTTTTCCTTTTTTAAAATTTTTTAAAGATTTATATATTTATTCAGAGAGACAGAGAGAGAGAGAGAGAGGCAGAGACACAGGCAGAGGGAGAACCAGGCTCCTTGCAGGGAGCCTGATGTGGGACTGGATCCCAGGATCATGACCTAGGCCAAAGGCAGATGCTCAACCGATGAGCCACCCAGGCATCCCTAGAAAAACTTTCTGTAGGAAAAAATGCTTCCTTAGATTCTTTTTCTATTTTTGAATAACACTTGTTTTGATACAGTTTGATAAACAAGTAAAATACATTTTAACTGAGATAACTATTTTGCCAAGAAATTGCACTTACTTTGGCTGGGAGATTGCTCTGTCGGGGTTTCTGTATCAAAATGTGGACCTGAAGAAGTATAAAGAACTCCTTTATTGTAATTTTCCCATCTTTGAGTTTCTGAGGAGAGAAAAAAGTTTGCACAATTTTCAAAGTGAGCTCATTTTGTTTCTAAATAGCTCATAGTATTTTGCATATATTTGTGGAAATATCCAAATATTTGTAAGGTATACACGAACAGATTTTTATCTAATATTATTTCTTAAGGTTATTCAGTAACAAAAGAATTGATAAACAACAAAACATAGATCTTCTAACTGTGATTTCTAATCCATATGATTAATTACCATGCTGGGTTCTGAACAAAAAAAATCTAATTTTCTGTATAGATGAAACATCATAATTTAAAAAAAATTAAAAAGTGAAAACTAAAAAGGAAATATAGTTGCATTAGAAATGAGAAATAGTTTGACATACCTCCTTCAAGCTCTCTTCACAAATAGTGTCTCTGAGAAACTGTGATTCCATTTGACTATTGTGCTGTGCTAGAAGTAAGGTAAATTCAGGCAATAAACTAATCAAAAATAAACTGTAAGCTTAATTTTAATTATCATTCAGGCTTTTGTGCAGTTCATGATCTTGTAGCTAGATCTTTTTGGGAAAAGTCATTTATAGGGCAGATTATGCTACCGTTTTAAGGTCCCATTTAATATTTCTTTACTAATTATAAGCTTCTTAAGGAAATTACCCTTTATGGTCTTAAGAACATTACCCTTTATGCTCTATCATTTCTCAATTTATTAAAATAATTAAGAATTAAAAATAAATTAAAATTATTTTACTTGTCAACAATGTATAACTCCCAAAAAGCTTACATAAATTTCAAATATTTCCTGAACTGAAATACATTTATTACTAGTCAAGTAAGCAGATGACTTCTATTATTTAGCTTTCATAAAGATCTTACTGCTGAAGTCCAGAGAGGTCCCATCAGCCTTTATCGAATCCAGAGAACTGCTGCAACTAGATGGGGTTCTGCTCAGGCTGTCAGCATTTTTATCTATATCCCCTTCAGCATGGTGATCAAAAATCTGAAATAATTAAGGAACATTATCAGCCTAAAGTTACGACTCTTTATACTTACAATAACTGTTTGTTGAACACTAACAAATACTACTTCAACATAAAATTTATCTATAATTTATATGAAACCCCTTAGTAACAAACTAGAATAGTAACAAGCAACTTATTAGGCCTTTATTTTTTGTTTTTAAAGATTTTATTTATTTATTCGTAAGAGACAAAGAGAGAGAGGGGCAGATACATAGGCAGAGAGAGAATCAGGCTCCATGTAGGGAGCCTGATGTGGGACTTGATCCTGGGACTCCAGGATCATGCCCTGGGCCGAAGGCAGGCGCTCAACTGCTGAGCCACCCAGGTATTCCAACTTATTAGGCCTTTAAAGTTTCAAATAATTTTATTTTAATTTTCTTTAAAAGTTTATTTATTTTTCTTAGTAATCTCTACACCCAACCTGGAGTTCAAGCTCATAACCCTGACATTAAGGGTTACATGCTCCTGTGACAGGGCCACTCTAGGTGCCTCTAGAATTAAAAATAATTTTATTTAAGAATATATAGAAATCAGCTTGTACATTATACAATATGAGCAAATTGTTTCTCAGATGTCTAAGTTAAAGCCAGATCCTAAAAAAAAAAAAAAAAAAGCCAGATCCTATGAGCTGACAAATGTTGACCTACTCAATTTCAACTACTAGCCACCAGGGTCAGGGCTACCACACTGAAATAAACCAGCACAGAATATTGGCTATTCAAGGGACTTGTGATAGAACACAAAGAAACTTATTTCCAGGATTTAGTACTTCTTTCCCCAGATGACCAAGATACTTTTGGCTGATGTCAAATAAGTGATATGCTGCTTTTACCATTTTAACCATTTGACTTTACAGCCTTAAATGCCATTTTCATCTACCTATTTATGCATTTTTTTGAGGACAATATATCCCTTATCTAAATGTTAGAATGTACTCTCCCTAGAAAAGATTTTTCTATAAATTCCCACTGATGAATTCCCAGCACCTAAACAGTACTCAGGACACAGGGGATATTCAATATCTACTGAACAAAAAATATTCATTTTCATAAAGTCTGTTCAGTTATAAATTTTTTAAAAAGATTTTATTTATTCATGAGAGAGACAGGCAGAGACACAGGCAAAGGAGAAATAGGTTCCATGCAGGAAGCCCGATGCAGGACTTGATCCTGGGACCCCAGGATCACACCCTGAGGCAAAGGCAGCCGCTCAAATGCTGACTTACCCCAGTGTCCCAATTATAAATTTTTTTTTAAATCACTGATACTACTGTCTCAAAACTTCACAGATGAACCATTTCCTCAGGACCTCATCTTATAGAACTACTGAAATACTTTTCTAAGCTTACTTGTCTTAGTTTTTTTTTTTAATATGTTTTTTAAAGATTTTATTTATTTATTCATGAGAGACACAGAGGGAGAGAGAGGCACAGACACAGGCAGAGGGAGAAGCAGGCTCCATGCAGGGAGCCCGACATGGGACTCGATCCCAATCCCGGGTCTCCAGGATCAGGCTCTGGGCTGAAGGCAGGCGCTAAACCACTGAACCACCTGGGCTGCCCTGTATTAGAGTTTAAACTTTGTTTTCTATGAACCTGATATTTTCTAATCTTCATTTCTCCACCTGAGTTACTCAGTTTGAATGACAGCTTTTATTCTCTCCAAGTTGTCCAAATGAGTGTTCTCTCAACTTTTAAAAAGATCTATGACTTCTTCCATAAATTCGAAATCTCACTTCTTCACCTTGAGATACTGGGCTTGACCCAGGCATTTTCTCATCCACTAAAGAAATGGATTCCCAGATTTTACAAATCCTTATAGCCAAGAAAATTCAGGCAAGCTTTTCTTTATGCACTTTACATAACAAAAAGGCTTTTTTACTCTCCAGATATTTAGATTGAAGATAACTTTTCAAGCTACATATACCCTGCCTAGAGAGTCTCCTATGCAAAACTATAATGACAAATTACACAATTTCAACATTAATTTTTGTTCTATTTCCTATTTCATTTTTTGTGATGATTTATCACTTCAAATTGTTTTTAAGTCTAGCGGTTAGTCAAGTAATTCCTTAACATTCTAAATAGGAATATTTCTCTAGACCTATAATTGGAAATGACCAATTCCTGCTCATCCAAGACTAAAATTAAAATTCAATACTCATAACTTAAAAAAAGACCCACCACATTCCTTAGTTTAAGACAGAGCTTACCTCCTGATCTTGTGTAGTATCACTACACCTAATCTCACTTTTCCTGATTTTTTTCTCATTCTGAATATCATCATCTTCTTGTACCCAGGTTCTTTTTTGGTTACTGCAGGTTTCTCTTATTTTATTTTCAGATGGTGGAATCCCTTTTTGATATGTCTCAATCAAAGCCTTTTCCTCAGTTTCTATGGTAATAGAATCTGAGGAATTAATCTCACCAGGATATATAGGAAAGTTTTCCTCATTTATATACTGAGATGGACTTAAGGTCAGTTTAGTTGCAACAAATTCAATGCTTGGCTCCTTACTGAAGACTGGCTGAATTTCTAAGTGATTTAAATCAGTTGTGTCTGCTTGAATCTGCTTCAGGTCATTAATACCAGTGACACTACAATTTCTCTTGTTTGGCAATCTGGGCAAAAATATTCCCAAAGAACATCTCTTCACTTTATCTTTTACAACTGTCATGAGTGGTACAGAGTTGGTTTCAGCTCCATTATGAGAAATTTTGCTTTCTTCATCTCTATCATCTTCAACATTGCTGGGCGCTGTGTTAATGTTCTGTATTTCTGTAGCTTGCACTATACTCATATGATTGTGTGCCTTGTTTATTAATGCAAGTATTTGCTCTGGAGAAGATGGAATATGGGGAGTTTGGAAATCTAAAAATTCTTCAGTTTTTCCATTCAAATTATTCAGATTTGATCTGACACTATTAAAACTTGCAGTATTAGATGCAATTACAGTATCTGATGCTTCTCTAGAATTAGTATGAGTTTGAATAACTTGCTTAGTCAAGTCTGAATTACTGTGGAAATCTGTATTACATTTAGCTGTCTGAGTATTTTTCCTCAGCTCATTTTTACAGACTATGGTAAATTGTTTATCATTGTTGAGCATTTTGGCCTCGTTTTCACATATGGGTACAAAGGAATTTCCTATAACAATATTTAAATTCTTATTTCCAGAATTAGATGATATTGTTTCATCTTTATTCAAAATTATCCGTCCTTGTTGAGGTAATGGAGGTACCTGGCTTGAGAGATGAGGCTGAGAAGTAACACAAACATTATCAACAACAGTCTTCTTTAAATTATGTTCTGTGGTATCAACAAAGCCCTCCATTTGATCCTCTGAGGGTTTAAAGGATACTCGATTTGAATTAGGTTTAATCATCTCCGCCAGCTCCTGACTATCTTGTAAAGTTTGATTAGCTATTAGATTCTGGGACTCCTTAATCATATCTTGATTTTTAAGCACTGTTGTAACACAGTCTAACTGTCCATTGCTATTGGTTTGAGTTACTTTTTCTTTCTTTAACAAAGAACAAGCAGAGGGAGGCAGTCCCTCAGGTTTCAAGTAATATTCATTGGCTAAATCCTTTACATAAGAAAGATCATTTTGCACTGGGCAGTTACTGGCTTTCTTATCTTTATCACCTAAGGACATGACATTCCCCTCCAAATTATCAAAACAGGAAATAGCATTTGGTAAACAGGAATAATTATCACTGGATCCACACGTAGCAGTTGCTTGACTGTTAGTAAAGTCCATGTTTCTTCTATCTGTACTATTTAACTGACAGCTTCCAATTCTGGCTTTTTCTGGTATATAGGTCTGGTCTACTGCCAATGCTTGTTTTTCAGTGATTTCTTGAACAGAGCTACCATCATTATGAAAAGAAATACCCAAGGGTTTTCCTGTAGCTATTCCAAATTTAGGGCACTCTTGATTAATTTTCTCTGTGTCTTGACAATCAATGAAAACAGTATGGGACTCGGTGACTTCCAGATCACCATGATTATCAACAAACATTACAGTTTTATCTATGGGCCTAGTAGTTATTTTATCCGGTGAGACAGTTTTACATTCTAACGCAGTCGTATGACTTCTAGTCATCTCCATGTCATCCTGCCCACATGAATACAAAACAGTTTTAGAAGCTCCTGTCAAAGGCACCAAATGGGAATCCTCTCTATCTTCTGGGGCACTTTTATAGTTTATTTTCACTGTACAACTCTGGGTGATATCCATATCATCATCATTTTTAGAAAATGCAGCAGTCTTGTCATTTTTGAGTCTAAGGCTTTTCCTTCTCTGACTTTTGTCTGATATAGTGTCATTCAGAAATTCAGGCTTTTGTACATCTTTGCCATTTTTCCAAATGGTGAATTTAGATACTTCCATGTTATCACCAGCTATAAATCCTACTGCTTTCTCTATAGGACCATTATTAGACCATTCCCTCAGTAGTGTTAGCTTATTGACGTTTGCTGCTGAATGGTCACTTTCACCATTCTCCAGAAAGGAAACACTTTCCTCAGCAGAAGCAGGTGTCATTTTTGGCTTTTCTATGCTTTTTCTTCTTTTGGATAGTTCTGAGTCAAGTTTGTCTATACTCACAGTCCTCTCCTTTGCTTGGTAGTCAATGAAAAAAGTGTGAGACTTTGTCATTTCTAGTTCATTGTAATTATCTACAAACATTACAGTTTTGTCCATAGGCCTACTGGTTATTTTATCTGGTGAGACAGTTATACATTCCAAGGCAGTTGTGTGACTTTTAGTGATCTCCACGTCATCTTGCCCACATTCATACAAAACAGTTTTAGAAGTTCCTGCCAAATGGGAATCTTGTTCAAGTAATAAAGGTTTATGATTTATTTCCACTGTAAAAATCTTGGTGATATCCATATCATTCTCATCACCCTCTGAAAATACAATAGTCTTATCAACTTTTTGTCTGCCAACACTTTTTCTTCCACAAATTTTGACATCTTGCTTTTCATTCAAAAATCCAAGTTTCTGTATGCTTTTGTCCTCTATCACATCTAGGTTATCCTTAGAAACAGATATTCCTGTTTTTTCTATAGGACTTTTACAACATTTTTCAACTTTTATAGCTGTCTGTCTGTTTGCTGTTGTTAGCAGACTGTTAGTATTTTCTAGATTAGTCTTACCCAATTCTTGTATTTCAGAAGAACTAAATCCAATGACAACAGTGTGACTCTTGGTTAGATCCATATTTTGTTCCTCCTCTGAACAAATAATTGTTTTGTCATGAGAATAGTCAGGTGTTGGATTGCCTACACCCTTCCTCAGTGACTCAGGCAGTTTAGAATTCTGGCCTGGCACAGATTTCATTGTGTAACTGTTAATAGCAATATTATGATTTTTCATGTTAGACTGTCCTTCTAATGAAAATAATGACTCTGTAGTAGGAAACAAAGATTGCTCACATGGAACAGTATTTCTATTATTTCCTAGTGCTACTTGTTTCTCAAGACTTCTATCAGAGTATACTATACTATGGCTTATTGCTATGTCTTGATTAATATCAGCTGATTGAGGAGAATCTTTATCAACATAAGGTGCAATCTTTAAAACTTGAACTTTTTCTTTGTCCCAGGTGTCCATTGGGATGTTTTTAGATATTATGTCTGGCTGCTGGGATGGTTCAATACGACTTTTGGTCATTTCTTGCCATTCATCTGAAGGGCTTTTGCTGTGAGAGAGAAATTTACTGGTATTCTCAGATGTTACATTGTAAGATGTAAGTGGAGTTTGACTTCCTAAGTTAGTTGTGTGACTTTCAGTCAAATCCATATCTTCACCTGTGAAGATTTCAGTCTTTTTGTCAGTCAATGAAATAGATAAAGAGTTTGCCAGGCTCTGCTGTAATCTTCCCTTAGATATATGAGGAACTGAGCTACAATTTATATTCATTTTCCCATCCTTTGACATGGTTATGAGATTTTGGAGCATTATTTCTTTTTCAGATATTGATGTGTCTGCTTTCTGTATATTTGTCTGATCTTGTTTAAAAATCTGATTATCTATTGCAACTGTATGACTCCTTGTAATGTCCATGCTATCCTCTCCTGAATAAATAGTTTTCTCTGTAAGAAGAGAGATGGCATCTGGATTGGGATACATTTTAGAATAATTATCATTCTTCAGCAAATTCTTCTCTTTTCTCATACCCGAGAGACATGTGGTCAGTTCCATGGGATTATTACTGCTAGAATAGAAAAATGTCTTATAATCTTGAGTAGCTGGGCTGGAACATATAGATTCTGGGATTATAGTCAATGTTCTGGCATCTTGGTTAGAAGTCTGTGTGCTTGTGTGAGTTTCTGTCCCTGTAATATGACTTTTGGTAATATGTATTTCACCATTAGGGTTTAAAGGGGTTTGAAAAGGAATATTCAGTTTATTAAAGATTGTCTTCCCTCCTGGAGCTTTAGTTCCATAATCTGTCATAGCCTCCATCATGACATTCTGAGTTTGATTTTCTTTATTAGATGAATTATCTGCTGAGGTTAAATTCTGTATAGTGTGGTTAGTTGTCAAGTCCATAAAATCACTGCCATAAATTGTAATATCATCACCTTTAAATTCCCTTATGCTGGCCTTACTGGATGTGGGAACCAAAGTCTGAATATTGGCTGTATGACACTGAGTGAAATTCATCCCATCATTTTGTTCTCCGAAGATTCTAGTTGTATTACTACTATTTTCATCTACCCTAAGAGATACATGCATTTGATGTACAGAAGAGGCCTTCTTTGTTTTTATGGGATGAACAGATATTTCAAAATTTTCTTTATCAGGTCCTGTAGGAAAAGCATTAGATTTTCCTGTTTTCAATCTTTTTATGAAGTCATTAAAATGTATTTTCTTTTCTGAAGAAGTGCTTTGATCCATGGAAAAATTTAATTCTTTTTTCATTCTTGAATCCTTAGTATGGAGCTTTAAGTTAGCCAGAAATGATGCGGTATCTATCTTAATGGACTTTTCACTTTTAGTACAATCTAACAGGTCTTTGGTAATCATTACAGTGTGACTTGCTGTTAGGTCCATCTGGTTTTCATCTGAAAAGATGACTGTTTGGTCATTTGCAGGTTTCATTTCATGGTTGTGTTCTGTAATTGAAATCTACAGTGAAAGCAAAATATAGGAGATCAGATCAAATGCAAACTTTCAGAAAGGTTTTTACAACATGTACTACATCAGAGTACTTAATATAAACAATCCTCAAAGATGGTTTCATGATACACTGGTTTGTTTGAATCAGTGTGGTATGTAGCATGTAATTTGTTATTACATTTTTTTTCAAAGTCTGTAAATGCTTTTAGTGTTTTTGGATAAATTAAAAGTTTCAAGGTTAATTATACATCAACTAGAATGACTAAAAATGAAAAAGACCGAGAATATCAAATACAACTCTAATGAAAATTCTAATTACTATATTAGGTCATTCTAAGTAAAAAAAAAAAAAAAAAAAAAAGACTTAGAGCTAAGAGCATGATGGCTAATTTATAGTACACTCTACTCTTGGAAGTTGGGTTCTCTTTGAATCTTAATGCAGTGGTTTTATTTGTAAGGAAGCAGTCTAATTCCTTGCTACTCAAAGTATGGTCTGTGAAGTAATGCACTAGTATCATTAGGAGATTGTTGGAAGTATAGAATCTCAAGGTGTGCCGGAGATATACTGAAAAGGAATCTATATTTTAACAAAATCCTGCATATGCCCATTATAGTTTGAGAAGTCCTGACATAATCAATATATTTCCTTATTTAAACTGGCAATAATTGAACTGTCCTTAGTTAACTGAAAAGGTAGGAAGTTTTCCAGTCTATGCTGGTCGACTTTGGTAAGTAATCCCTAAACAATGCCATAACATTATTTTTTGTGTGTGTTAACTATAAGGGAGAATAAATGAAAAGGCACATGCATGAACTCCTACCTCTCTCTGTTGCATCTGAGTCTGAATAGGAGCAGAAAGCAATGTGTTCATCCCTATTGAAAAGGAGGAAAAACTACAGTCAATAACAAAAATACATATATCACCAAGAGCCTGCTTTTTCTTTCTGTAGGTTATGTAGGTTCTTTCTGTAGGTTCTTCATCATTTATGAGTATTTATTGAAGTTTTATCAGTTACTGAGGCCTTCATAAGGGCTTAGATACTAAATTTCATTAAGACTTCTAATTGTGGGATCCCTGGGTGGTGAAGCGGTTTGGCACCTGCCTTTGGCCCAGGGCGAGATCCTGGAGACCTGGGATCGAATCCCACGTCGGGCTCCCGGTGCATGGAGCCTGCTTCTCCCTCTGCCTATGTCTCTGCCTCTCTCTCTCTCTCTCTCTCTCTCTCTGTATGACTATCATAAATAAATAAAAAATTAAAAAAAAAGACTTCTAATTGTCCCTTGGAGCACCTAAGTGGCTCAGTTGGTTAAGTCTTCAACTCTTGATTTTAGCTCAGATCCTGATCCCAGGGTTTTGAGATTGACAGGCAGCAGTCTGCTTCTCTCCCTCACCTTCCCACATCGTGTGCTTCCACCCACCCCTGTCTCTCACTCTCTCTCTCAAATCAATCAATCAATCTTTCATTTTTTAAAATATTTTATTTGAGAGAGAAAGAACATTAGGGAGGGTAAGAGCAGGGAGAGGGAAAGAAGCAGTCTCTGCCAAACATGGAGCCCAAGATGGAGCTTGATCCCAGGACCCTGAGATCATGACCTAAGCCAAATTCAGAAACTTAATGAACTTAGCCACCCAGACACCCCTACATAAATCTTAAAAAAATAAAAACTTATAACAGTCCCATCTTAGGGACAGAGAGATCTAGATTATTATATTCTCTATGTGACTGAAATATTTTTCAAACGTAATTTTTTAAAAATTTTATTTATTTATGATAGTCATCACAGAGAGAGAGAGAGAGGCAGAGACATAGGCAGAGGGAGAAGCAGGCTCCATGCAGGGAGCCTGACGTGGGATTCGATCCCTGGTCTCCAGGATCGTGCCCTGGGCCAAAGGCAGGCGCTAAACCGCTGCGCCACCCAGAGATCCCTCAAACGTAATTTTAAAGGGGGAATTTTAAAGGTAGAAGTTTGGACTTCTTTCCCCCTTCACTTCTTTATTTTTACTCCCTGGATAGTAGAGGTTACATGGTAAAGAGTACTAATTCACAAGACTGAAATGTCAGAGTAAGATTTTGAAGCATCTTTTATTCTATGTTAAGGAATCTAGATATTACCATGATGAGACATGCATTTTATAAAAATAACTCCAGAGAAGGAGAAAAAAGTAGATTCAAGAGAAGATAAACCAATTAGGAGCTGCTGTAATAGTGCACATACAAGCAAGTAAGAATCTCTTGGTAAGAGAAAATGAGAATGGGAATAGAAGATTAGACTCAGCACATTTTAGAATTGAAATATAAAGATTTAGGTAACAGATAGACTTTGGAAATAAGGAAGGGATTGAAGATGCTATAATAAAACAGGAAATACATTTTATAATACTTAAGTTTAAAGGCAAATCTCTAGAATATTTTTAAAATGTTTTTATTTAAATTCCAGTTAGTTAACATATAGTGTAATATTACTTTCAGGTGTACAATATAGTGATTCAACACTTCCATAAAATGCCCAATTCTCATCACAAAAATCTTTAGAACATCTAAAGAGTTTATGGTAACCTCAATTGAATATGATGAAGTAATTACAGGCTTTTTGCTAAAAATCTTACTTATATATCAAGCTTCCACGCTTATTCAAAAATATTTACTCAGAACCTATTATGTGTCCCAAACTCAACTATCTACACTAAGGCACAAAGAACGGACAGAATTTCTGGACTCAGAGTTCCTACTTTAATAAATGAGCCAGAAGTAAATATCTAAGATACAATGTGATAAATTCTTCAAAAAGTGAGAAATAAAGGGATATTATGACATTACAGGACTGAGTGACCCCTTGGTTTTGTCAGAGAAGGCTCCATTTAAGCCAGTACAACTTAATGTGTGGTGCCAGTCTGTGAGCTGCTTGTTACCAATTCATGATGAAATAAGGAGCTTCCAGCCAATGTAAATCACGTGATATTTCCTTCATCAAGAAAGCTTTGCTAAGAAAAAAATGTCAGTTAGCTAAACAGTAGGTAACTGCCATAGTTGATTTACATTCTAATGCAAGTTCTTTTTCTGTCATGGATTATAACAGTTTGTGGACTAGGTACTTTGTTTTCTTTTTTAAGACTTATTTTTTTAATAAGTCTTTTTTTTTAATTTTATGTATTTATGATAGTCACACAGAGAGAGAGAGGCAGAGACACAGGCAGAGGGAGAAGCAGGCTCCATGCAGGGAGCCCGACGTGGGACTCGATCCCGGGTCACCAGGATCGCGCCCTGGGCCAAAGGCAGGCGCTAAACCGCTGCACCACCCAGGGATCCCGGTACTTTGTTTTTGTTTTTTATTTTGTTAAGATTTTATTTTTAAGTAATCTCTACATCCAATGTGGGGCTCAAACTCACAACCCTGAGATCAAGAGTTGCATGCTCCACCAACTGAGCCAGTAAGGCACCCGGGATTTGGCTACATTGAATAGGAATGAAGTTAGGCTAAGTAAAAAACTAAGTTAAATGAAAATGAGAAGCTGATAGGCAACTTGGAGTAAGAAGGGCACTTCAGAGAGAAAAAAACATCATTTGTAAATGGATACAGAAAGAAAAAAATCAACATGGGGATCTGTAAATACTTCTTCATAAGCTAAAGCTTGAGCTAAAGATATAGATATCTAAATATCTAATGGGCAAGAGATAAAATGGGAGAAGAGCTTTCAAAGTCTATGCCAAAGAGTATTTTATCCTATAAGCAAAAAAGTGCCATTTAATAATTTTAAGTTGGGAGGTAATATCAGATTTAGAAATATGTAGAATGGATTAAAGGGATAAGAAACTAAATCCAGTAGCCCATGAGAGAATAATGAATAATGAAGACACGAACTCAAACAGTGGCAGAAGGAACGGAGAGGAGGTAACAGATTTGCAAGATATTTAGGAGAAAGAATAGAGTGAAGTCCAATGGATATGTGGAATGAGGAAAAATTTTTAAAAATGACTCAATTTCTGACTTGAATGAACGAGTGGGAATCCAAAATAGAGAAAACAAGTGGAACAGCAGGTTTAGCAGAAATAATAGCAAGTTTGTGAACTTTCATATTGAAGTTTTTTTTTTTTTTAAAGATTTATTTATTTAATCATGAGAAACACAGACTGAGAGAGAGAGGCAGAGACATAGGCAGAGGGAGAAGCAGGCTCCTCGCAGGGAGCCGGATGTGGGACTCGATCCTGGATCCTGGGATCACAACCTAAGCTGAAGGCAGGCGCCCAACCACTGAGCCACCCAGGCGTCCCTTGAAAATTTTGTGTAAAGAACAGAGCTCTCTTTACATTTTTTTCCTTAGTTCTTTTACAAATTACTTTGTATGAAATTTGGATGAAGAAAAAGTTATGTGGTAAGGAAAGTATTTTGGTCATACTCACCAGTAATCTCACAGGTTTCTTCTGGCTTCTTATTCCTAAAAATTAAAAAGTATTTTCAAAATCTATACCCCAGACAATTACCAAGAATCACAACACTTGAAAGAGCAGGGAAGGTGAAAAGTTTTTGTACGGTAACTGGCAGAAAAATACAAAGACATCTTTAAAAAGACTCCTCTAACTCTGGCAGAAAAAAATTACAAGGTAGTTAAAGGACCATTTTCAGAATGGTCTTAAGGTTTTGTTAATTTCAAGGATACTATAAAAATATACTTAGTACGGGCTTTTTTTTTTTTTTTTAAAGAACAACCTACAAAGCAACTCATTTTCTAGAGATATAGCTTTTTTAAAAAAAGTAAATAAAAGGAAACCCCAAATGTCCATCAATAGGGAGCTAATTGTTGATGCAGACATACAACAAATTATGAAAGACTGAGCTACATCTATATATAAAAATATGTAAAGTGGGCAGCCCCAGTGGCACAGCGGTTTAGCGCCACCTGCAGCCCAGGGCATGATCCTGGAGTCCCGGGATGGAGTCCCATGTCAGGCTCTCTGCATGGAGCCTGCTTCTCCCTCTGCCTGTGTCTCTGCCTCTCTCTCTCTCTCTCTCTCTCTCTCTCTGCATCTCTATGAATAAATAAAATATTTTTTTAAATTTTTATTTATTTATGATAGTCACACAGAGAGAGAGAGAGGCAGAGGAAGAAGCAGGCTCCATGCACCAGGAGCCCGACGTGGGACTCGATCCCAGGTCTCCAGGATCGCACCCTGGGCCAAAGGCAGGCGCTAAACCACTGCGCCACCCAGGGATCCCAAATAAAATATTTTTAAAAATTTTTTTAAAAAATAAAAATATGTAAAGTACTATAAGACATATTATTAAGTATTTTCATTTGTCTTTTTAAAAATAAAAATTAGGGATCCCTGGGTGGCGCAGCGGTTTGGCCCAGGGCGCGATCCTGGAGACCCGGGATCAAATCCCACGTCGGGCTCCCGGTGCATGGAGCCTGCTTCTCCCTCTGCCTATGTCTCTGCCTCTCTCTCTCTCTCTCTCTGCGTGACTATCATAAATAAATAAAAATTTAAAAATAAAAATTAAAGATAAACATGCACTTGGATATACATTTAAGTTTTTGCAAAGACAACCAAAATTACTGGAGCTTCTGTGTGGCTCAGTCAATTAAGCATTTGACTCTTGATATCAGTTCAGGTTTTAATCTCAGGGTCATGAGTCAAGTCCCATGGTGGGCTCCACACTCAGCTGGTTAACTGCGAGGAGCCTAAACTTTGAGAGTTTTCTGCATTAGTATATAAAAAGAATCTTTTCTTCCAGTTCAACAGTAGTCAATTACATGGAAAAATTTTATTTATTTAACCAGTCCAGTACTGATAGATCATTAGGATCTTTTATATCCTTTGCCATGAGTAACCTTTTATGTTCATCATTTTAAACATTTACAAGTATCTTAATGAAATAAATTCCCAGACATGAGATTACCAAGTCAAAGGGCATGTGTATTTAAAATTTTGAATGATACTGCCAACTGCCTTCTTCAATTTATATCCACTAGCAGTGAGCAACTTTTACCCTATATTCTTTATTTTTTTAATATATATATTTTTGTTGGGAGTTCAATTTGCCAACATATAGCATAACACCCAGTGCTCATCCCACCAAGTGCCCCCCTCAGTGCCTGTCACCCAGTCACCCCAACCCCCCGCCCACCTCCCTTTCCACTATCCCTTGCTCGCTTCCCAGAGTTAGGTTCTCTCATGTTCTATTTTTTCATTTGAGAGACACAGAGAAAGAGAGCACGAGCAGGAGGAGGGGCAGAGGGAGAGGGATAAACAGACTCCTTGCTGAAGAGAGGCTGACACACAACTTGATTCCAGGACCCTGAGATCATGACCTGAGCTTAATTGACCCACCCAGGTGCTGCTTACCTATATTCTTAACTGATTAGATGAAAAGTTGTATCTCAATAATAATCTAACTTTGTATTTCTCTTATGATGAATGAAAATAAGCATCTTTCCATTTGTTCAAGAGCAACCTGTATTTATTTTTCTATATATTAACATGATAAGAAAAACTAATGAAAAAAATCTGAATATTTGGTTTTATTGTTTTGCACTAAATGTCGTACTTAAGGATTTATATGTGAAAGTAGAATTTCAACACTCTGTTAAAAGGAAAATCTGTACAAGTGTGTTAGCACACACTCATCAGATATAGCAGTATATTAAATTCGGCAAAGAATCTGTTTTCTGAATTACTCCTAAGTATTCTACAAAAGAATCACAAAAATAAAAGCAAAAAGATCATTAATTTAAAAAATACTGCATTTGATAGTAATAAACAGTTTTTCAAATATAATTTGAATCACATTTTCTCTACTTACTGTATATATAGAACATTTTCTCCCGCTTCTGTTTCTAAAAATAAAATAAAAATTAAAACTTGTTCAAGGACACACTGATAAAGCATTAGAAAAATTGCATAAGAACATTAACAACAATTAAAAAAAAATACTAACTATCCACCTTACTTTCTGCCCCCATCGCTCAAGCTATACTTTTTAAGCAATAAGATAAACAGTTTTATCAATTACCTGGTTAGACAGCCACACCAAAATTTTAGAGGAAACAGATTAAGCAGGGATTGCAATAACATATTTACCTGCAATTTCTGACTTTCTTACTATTTTCATATGAGACTCTGTCTGGAATACTCTAGAAAAGAAAATACAAATTACTGAAAATCTGCAATTTTTTAAAAAATATTTTATTTATTTAATCGGGGAAGGGGTAGTGCGGAGGTAGGGGAGAGCCCCATGCAACTCGAGGCCAGGCTCAATCTCAGGACCCGGAGATCATGACCGACCTGAGTTAAAACCAAGAGTTGGATGCTTAACCTACTGAGTTATCCAGGTGCCCCTGAAAGACTGCAATTTTTATTTTATTTATTTATTTTTTAAAAAGATTTTATTTATTTATTCATGAGAGACACACACACAGAGAGAGAGAGAGGCAGAGACACTGGCAGAGGGAGAAGCAGGCTCCATGCAGGGAGCCCGATGTGGGACTCGATCCCGGGTCTCCAGGATCAGGCCCTGGGCTGAAGGCGGTGCTAAACCACTGAGCCACCCAGGCTGCCCCCTTTTTTTTTTTTAAAGATTTAAGACTGCAATTTTTTTTTTTTTTAATTTATGACAGTACAGAGAGAGAGAGAGAGAGACAGAGGCAGAGACACAGGCAGAGGGAGAAGCAGGCTCCATGCAGGGAGCCCGACGTGGGATTCGATCCCGGGTTTCCAGGATCGCGCCCCGGGCCAAAGACAGGTGCCAAACCACTGCGCCACCCAGGGATCCCTAAGACTGCAATTTTTAATTAGGACCCTATGGTGTTAATTTATAGTCTGTTTTGAGATACGTAAAGAGAACCAATTTCAGCTTCCTATTTGCTACGTCATCATGTACTGTTAATATTTCAAGTGCCAAAATTTATTCACATCAAAATCTGTTGCTTTTTTAAAGAACTCTGACAAAAATCATTATCCTCTCAATAACCTAAAATATTTACTTTATTCAACAAAACATTTATTAAGCACTCACTATATACTTGATGCTAAATACCAGAGTCTGATACATTATCTTTGACCTCAAGGAGTTTTCTCTGTAAGCAAGAGCTGGAGCAGTGATTATGAACATTACTTCACTGACTTTTGTTATTAACAGTTCAGATAAGGTGGCATGGACTACAGAGGAAAGGATCTCTTTTCATTGGTATGATTAAGCTTCTGGAGAAGCAGCATTTGATATCAGACTTAAAGAATCTGGCTAGTTCATTTTCATTCTAATATTAAGTATCATTCATTACTGGGAAGCTATTCTTAATAAGAAAGAAAATTTAGTTTCAAATACAAAAAAGCAATGAATATTTACATACATATTGTGTGACAAGCATTCTATTCTTTATATACATATATTTTTAATTATTATAACAATCATGTTATCTTACAGATGTAGATTTTATTTATTTATTCATGAGAGACACAGAGAGTCAGAGACAAAGGCAGAGGGAGAGGCATACTCCATGCAAGGAGCCTGATGTGGGACTAGGTCCGGAACTCTGGGATCACGCTCTGAGCTGAAGGCAGACGCTCAACCGCTGAGCCCCCAGGTGTCCCTACAGATGTAGATACTGAAGGTCATAAAGTTTTTTTTTTTTTTTAAGATTTTGTTCATTTATTCATGGGAGACAGAAAAAGAGAGAGAGAGAGAGGCAAAGACACAGGCAGAGGGAGAAGCAGGCTCCATGCAAGGAACTCCAGGATCATGCCCTGGGCCGAAGGCAGGTGCGCCAAACCGCTGAGCCACCCAGGGATCCCCCATGAAGTTCATAAAGGTTAAGTAATTCCCAAGGTCATATACCTAATAAGTGGCAGAGCCAAAATGCAAACTCAAATCTGTCTGACTTCAAAACCTGAGCTTATAACTACAAAGCTATACTTGACACAACTTTTCTTCAAATGATTTGCAATAGAAGACTTTTTTATTCAGTATGAGCAGGATCAGTATAGTTGTTCAACTAATTTAAAAAATCTTTAAAATAAGAAATCATGGGGCACCTAAGTGGCTCAGTGGTTGAGCCTTTGGCTCAGGTTGTGATCCTGGGGTCCTGGGATTGACAGGATTGAGTCCCACATCCGGCTCCCCACAAGGAGCCTGCTTCTCCCTCTGCCTATATCTCTACCTCTCTCGTGTTTCTCATGAATAAATAAAATCCTTCAAATAAAATAAGGAATCACGACTGATCCACACACAACTTAAATATTTACAAAAATTAAAACACATGAGTGGGTTTTAATTTACAAATCTTTGAATGTCAATCAGATATCTTTACTTTTGAGTGGATCTACTAGTACAACTTTAGTGTATTTAATATCCCAGAGCCATTTTAAGAAAGCTAGTAAAGTAAGTAGATTATATCCAAGGAAAGGAGAGAGTGGACTAGGTTTAAAAGCATTTGGGAAGGGTTATCAGAAGCAGTAGAAAAAGCAGTAGACTAGAAATCAGGAGACCTATAATTGTGGTTCTGTCACTACCTACATAATCTTCTCACTAAAATAGAAAGAGTTTGGGGTATTTTTACTTAATGACTTATTTAGTAGGCTCCAGCTCAGCATGGAGCTCAAGGCAGGGTTTGAACTCACAAGACTGAGATCAAGACCTAAGCTGAGATCAATCAAGAGTCAAACACTTAACTGACTGAGCCACCCCAGTGTCCCATAATTTATTATTATTTTTTAAAAATAAACTCTACCTCCAACACGGGGCTTGAACTCAGGACTCTGGGATTGAGACTGAGTGACATACTCTACTGACTGAGCCAGCCAGGCGCCCAAGGGTACTTCTAATTTTTAATGTTCCATCAACCAAAACACAAATTTAAGGAGAAAATGCTGAGTTTTCTTATATACCTCTTTGTATGATATGGATAAATAGGAAAATAATCCTATCCCAATTACCCTTATTGTTTCCAAACTTCCCTGTTGACTTCTTGGAACATGTTTATTAGCCAAGTTCATTATAAAACAAACAAAATAAACAGGATAAACAACACATCTAAGAAAAAAAAGGAAAACAGGAAGAAGCATTGTAATAACAATCAGACAGACTCAGAAAATATAATACAGCCTAATCCCACAAATAATTAGGGTAATGAGAGGAAGAGAAAATACCAACAATGTGAAAAACACAAGAAGTTATGATAATATAATGATTAAGAATAGTCTGGGGATCCCTGGGTGGCGCAGCGGTTTAGCGCCTGTCTTTGGCCCAGGGCGCGATCCTGGAGACCCGGGATCGAATCTCATGTTGGGCTTCCAGTGCATGGAGCCTGCTTCTCCCTCTGCCTGTGTCTCTGCCTCTCTCTCTCTCTCTCTGTGTGTGTGTGACTATCATAAATAAATAAAAATTAAAAAAAAAAGAATAGTCTGATGAGAAATAGTCCAAAGTCTGAGACCTACCTCTTAAAAAGTATGGGAACTTAAGCAAGTTACTTAAGCTAAGCCTTAGTTTCCTTAATCATAAAATGAGATACGATTGATTCAATGAATAATGAATGCATACCGTTGCATATTTAACATGTAATATTAGCTATTAATAATAAATCAAATTTTGATACAGATAAAACCACTTTCAATGATTTGACACAAGTGATTTTATATTAAAATGATCATTTCATGGGATCCCTGGGTGGCACAGCGGTTTGGCGCCTGCCTTTGGCCCAGGGCGCGATCCTGGAGACCTGGGATCGAATCCCACGTCAGGCTCCTGGTGCAGGGGGCCTGCTTCTCCCTCTGCCTATGTCTCTGCCTCTCTCTCTCTTTCTCTGTGTGACTATCATAAATAAATAAAAAAATAAAAATAAAATAAAATGATCATTTCAGCATGATTTTTGGGGACATCTGACTGGCTCAGCTGGAAGAGCATGTGACTCTTGATCTCGGGGTCATGAGTTTGAGCCCCACACTGGGTGCAGACATCACTAAAAAATAAACTAAAAAAATATATATGATTATTGAAATGACATAGATTTTCTGGAGAAATAATTCAAAAGAAAGGCACCTTCAAGATCCTCAAGATCATCAAGTTTTTAAAATCTAAGAGGAAGGTGTGCTTGTGGCTCAGCTGGTTAAATGTTTGCCTTTGGCTCAAGTCATGATCTCCAGGTCTCCATCTCAGAGGGGTGGAATCTGGGGTCAGGCTCCTTGCTTAGCGGGGAGTCTGCTTTTCCTTCCCTCTTTGACCTTCCCTCCCCCAGTTCACACTCTCTTTCTCATTCTAATAAATAAATAAAATCTTTAAAAAAAATTTTGTTTTTTAAAATCTAAGATAAAAAGAAAAAGCTCTTAGACATTGCCTCTAGGAAGGGGAAAATATTTTTAAAATAAAATATATGGGGCAGCCCAGGTGGCTCAGCAGTTTAGCGCCGCCTTTGGTCCAGGGCATGATCGACCGGGGATCGAGTCCCATATCGGACTCCATGTGTGGAGCCTGCTTCTCCCTCTGCCTGTGTCTCTGCCTCTCTCTCTATCTCTCTCTCTCTGTGTCTCTCATGGATAAATAAATAAAATCTTAAAAAAAAGAAATATGACTCTGCCCCTTCCAATTTTATAGAAAATAAGAACTTGGGTTTAAAAATAAAAATAAGGGATCCCTGGGTGGCGCAGGGGTTTAGCGCCCGCCTTTGGCCCAGGGCGCGATTCTGGAGACCCGGGATCGAATCCCACGTCGGGCTCCCGGTGCATGGAGCCTGCTTCTCCCTCTGCTTGTGTCTCTGCCTCACTCTGTGTGACTGTCATAAATAAATAAAAATTAACAAAAAAAGTTTTAAAAATAAAAATAAGGGATCCCTGGGTGGCACAGCGGTTTAACGCCTGCCTTTGGCCCAGGGACGCAATCCTGGAGACCCGGGATCGAATCCCACGTTGAGCTCCCGGTGCATGGAGCCTGCTTCTCCCTCTGCCTGTGTCTCTGCCTCTCTCTCTCTTTCTCTCTCTCTCTGTGTGTGACTACCATAAATAAATAAAAAATTTAAAAAAATAATAAAAAAATAAAAATAATAAAAATTGTTCCATCTTACTTATTAACATCAAAATAAATTCTAAATAAAATATATAAAAAACGAACCTATAAAAAGACCAGAAGAAAATATAGGTGCCTTAAAAACATAGGAAGACCATATAAAAAATTAAAACTTTTAACACCAGAAAATACCCAATAAGCAAAATTAAAACAGGTTAAAAAACTAGCAATACAGATGAAAAAGGGCTTTTATCTATCTCTAACAGTTAATGACTTTAACAAGTTAAAAGAAAAAGACAAGTATTCACATCAATAATTGTTAGTAAGCCTTCTTATATTTTATTTTATTTTTTTAAGATTTTATTTATTCATGAGAGACACAGAGACAGGCAGAGACATAGGCAGAGCAAAAAGCAGGCTCCCTGCAGGGAGCCCAATGCTAGACTCAATCCCCAGACCCCAGGCTCATGCCCCAAGCTGAAGGCAGATGCTCAACCACTGAGCCACCCAGGCATCCCGTGAACCTTCTTATAAACCTTAATAGTTGAAACCAGAAACAGACAAGACTGCTTAACTCATGCTTTAACTAAAACCCATGTTTTCTCTTTAAAAAAAAAAATATATTTGAAAGCACACAAGCAAATGTGCAAGCAGGGAGAGAGGCAGAGGGAGAGGGACAAGCAGGCTCCATACTCAGCACAGAGCCTGACATAGGGCTTGATCTCACAATACTGAGATCATAACCTGAGCTGAAATCAAGAGTCAGATAGATGTTTAACCTACTGAGCCACTCAGGCACCCCCACTATTTTTTATTGCACTTTCTTGAGGCATTGATGAAGATGTTTTGCAATGAACTCAAAATCACAAGATACCAGACCAGAAAAGCCTTGATAGCAATAGAATGCCTAGAAAACAACACTCCACATGTCTCCTTCCCTGATTATGAGCATGGGCTGAACACATACTGATCCCTACTCATGATCACATGCTGCCTGCCTTCTTGCACACACCCCTGAATCTCTCCCTATAAAACTCTAGGTGTCCATCTTGTGGGTAGAGAGGTCAGTTGTTAAGGCTTGAGCCTTAACCTTCCCCAGCTGCCAGGACTCAAAATAAATTTCTCCCTTTCTCTTTTCCAAAACCTTGTCTCTTCAGTAATTGGCTTCTCTTGTGAAGAGTTCATCCAAGTTTACTGGGCAGCAGTGTTGGCAAAACCAGCCAGGAGCTAAACTTTCAACTTGTCCAGTCCCCTCCAGATTCCCTACGATGGAGGAATTGGCTGCCACAATGAGCTGGGGTTCACCTATTTGTTTCTTAAGTTAGCAGTTGTGATAGATGGGTAGACTGATAGATTTGGTAACAGAATGGCCTAGAAACAATGACTAATTCAAGAATAAGGAGAACCTAAGCATCCAGATTGTGTTTTCTAAATGTTATTTCCTACTAAAAGGAATTATACTTGCTTGTTGGAAACATGGCTAATTTCAGGTCTGATCAGACAATACATAAGATGAACATGAGTATCTTGGTATACTATAAAGCAAAGCGGCTATCAAAAATTATTGGGGTTATATCAAAAGATCAGAAACTAATCTGAAGAGATTCCACTAAACAAAGAGAATAATTCAAGTATTAACAAAAATATTAACTATAACATGCTAAAACACATTAAATATGTTTTTAAGTTCATGATTTAGATATTTGGGTAAACATATTGGAAAAAAAATCCTTATCAGTCTTAAGTTTGAAAGAAACTAAGAAACCAACTCATTGTCCTTAAACTAGTAAATAAAGGGATCCCTGCCCCCAAGAATTTAATATACCTTTCCTTTATGAACCATAACTCAGAATGAGATTATTATCAATTAGCACTCTAAGGAAATAATGGATCTAGGGTGCCCGGGTGGCTCAGTTGGTAAGTATCTGCCTTTAGCTCAGGTCATGATCACAAGGTCCTGGGATTGACCTGCATCGGGATCCCTGCTCAGTGGGCAGTCTTCTCCCTCTCCCTTCTCCCCTCCTCCTGTGTGTGCTCTCTCTCTCCCATGCTCTCTCATTCATAAATAAATAAATAAATAAATAAATAAATAAATAAATAAATAAATAACTTAAAAAAAAAAAAAAGAATGGATCTAGGCAATGATCATCAGAGAGATAACTGGACATCAAGGGCTGTATGATGAAAGTCCAGGAAGAATTTGACTTAAATTTGATGTTTTCAACAAGACCTGTGTTGGACTCTTGTTTTTGGCTCAGGTCATGATTTCAGGGTTGTAACATAGAATCTCACATCAGGCTCCCCACTCAGTGTGGAATAGTCTTCCCTTTCCTGTCTCCCTCTGCCCCTTTTCCCACTTGCACTCTCTTTAAAATAAATCAATAAATCTTTTAAAAGGCTCAGGTCATGATCTCAGGATCCTGAGATCAAGCCCCCAGATCAGGCAATCTGCTCAGTGGGGAGTCTGCTTCTCGTTGTTCCCCCTCTGCTGCTCCCCCTGTTGTGCACACTATCTCTCTCAAATAAATAAATAAAATCTTTAAAAAATATAAAATAAAAAAACAATTAATTTAGGGAGAAGTAACAGTTTTGTGATGTTGAATCTTTTTATTCAACTTGTTACGATTTTTTAGTATTCTCCAGTAATGGTTTATCCTTTATAAGTTTTGATTATTAAATGCATAGCAACAAAATATAACACAATAGGAAAAAAGACATTTATTTTCTATCTAGTTATTATTTATATATAGGAAATATAATAATTTTCATATATTACTTTTTTACCCTGCTCTTTATTGTCTGTACAGGTATTTCAATTGATATTTTTATATTTTGCTAATATACAAGCATTTAATCTGCAAAAAGTATTAGATTTACCCCCATCTTTTCAATTTTTAGAACTCCAATTTTTTATTTTTATTGGAGTTCAATTTGCCAACATAAAGCGTAACATCCAGTGCTCATCCCGCCAAGTGCCCCCCTCAGTGCCCATCACCCAGTCACCGCAACCCCCTGCCCACCTCCCTGTCCACTACCCCTTGTTCGTTTCCTAGAGTTAGGTGTCTCTCATGTTCTGTCATCCTCACTGATATTTTCACTCATTTTCTCTCCTTTCCCTTTATTCCCTTTCACTAATTTTTATATTCCCCAAATGAATGAAACCATATAATGTTTGTCCTTTTCCGATTGACTTATTTCACTTATTTCAGCATAATACCCTCCAGTTCCATCCATGTTGAAGCAAATGGTGGGTATTTGTCGTTTCTAATAGCTGAGTAAAATTCCAATGTATACATATATCACATCTTCTTTATCCATTCATCTTTCAATGGACACCAAGGCTCCTTCCACAGTTTGGCTATTGTCGACACTGCTGCTATAAACATTGGGGTGCAGGTGTTCCGGCGTTTCACTACATCTATATCTTTGGGGTAAATCCCCAGCAGTGCAACTGCTGGGTTGTACACTTTCCCTATTTTTATTAGCACCTTCAATACAATATTAAATTAACTGTGGTAAGACACAGCTGTTTTGTTTCTGATTTTAGCAGTGATGCTTTTAATGTTTCTCAAGCATAATACTGAATAACAACCTTTTAAATAATAGTTCCTTAATGCTTATGTCATTAAAACCCAGATTATCGGGGATCCCTGGGTGGCACAGCGGTTTGGCGCCTGCCTTTGGCCCAGGGCGCGATCCTGGAGACCCGGGATCGAATCCCACGTCGGGCTCCCGGTGTATGGAGCCTGCTTCTCCCTCTGCCTGTGTCTCTGCCTCTCTCTCTGTGTGTGACTATCATAAATAAATTTAAAAAAAAAAAATTAAAAAAAAACCTAGATTATCCAAGTCAGTTAGTATCAACATACCTGGTTTGATGCACAAAAAATCATTACCTGTAACGTTTTAATTATTCCTCTTTCCAACTTACTTTATGGTATCTGCAAAGCTGACTCGACGAGAGCTTTTCTTATTTCTCAAAGCATTAGATTCCTAAGGGCAGAGAATATATGGTATGATTTTTTTTCAAGTTAGTTAACATAAAGGATATTATTAGTTTCAGGGTAGAGTTTAGTGATTCATCAGTGGCATATAACACCCAGAGCTCATTATATCACATGCCCTCCTTAAGGTCTACCCAGTTACCCCATTTCCCCACCATCTCCCCTCCAGCAATACTCAGTTTGTTCCCTATAATTAAGAGTATCTGGGCAGCCCGGATGGCTCAGTGGTTTAGTGACGCCTTTGGCCCAGGGTCTGATCCTGGGGACCTCGGGTCAAGTCCCGTGTCAGGCTCCCCACGTGGGGCCTGCTTCTCCCTCTGCTTGTGTCTCTGCTCCTCTCTCTCTGTGTGTGTTTCTCATGAATAAATAGGTAAAATCTTTAAAAAAAAAAAAAAAGGGGGGGCATCTATGGTTTGCCTCTCTTTTTTTTATTTTTCCTTCCCTTCCCCCATGTTCATCTGTTCTGTTTCTTAAATTCCACGAGTGAAATCATATAGTATTTGTCTTTCTCAGACTGACTTATTTTGCTTAGCATAATACACTCTAGTTCCATCCGCACTGTTCCAAATGGCAAGATTTCATTCTTTTTGATGGCTAAGTCATATTCCAGTGTGTGTACACCTGTGTGTGTGTGTGTGTGTGAGACATCTTTTTCCATTCAACCATTGGACATCTGGGCTCTTTCCATATTTTGGCAATTGTGGACATTGCTACTATAATCTTTGGGGTGCATGTGCCCCTTCGAATCACTGTTTTTGTATCTTCTGGATAAATACCTCACAGTGCAATTGCTGAGTTATAGAGTAGTTCTACTTTTAACTTTCTTTTTTTTTTTTTTAATTTTTTTATTTATTTATGATAGTCACACAGAGAGAGAGAGAGAGGCAGAGACACAGGCAGAGGGAGAAGCAGGCCCCATGCACCGGGAGCCCGACGTGGGATTCGATCCCGGATCCCCGGGATCGCGCCCTGGGCCAAAGGCAGGCGCCAAACCGCTGCACTACCTAGGGATCCCTACTTTTAACTTTCTGAGGAACCTCCATACTGTTTTCAAGTAGCTGCAACAGTTTGCATTCACACTGACAGTGTAAAGGGCTCCCCTTTCTCCACATCCTTGCCAACATCTGTTGTTTCTTGAGTTGTTAATTTTAGCCATTCTGACCGGTGTGAGGTGATATCTGATTGGGGTTTTGATTTGTATTTCTCTGTTGATGAGTGATGTTGAGTATTTTTTTCGTATGTTTGTTAGCCATCTGGATGTCTTCTTTAGAGAAATGTCTGTTCATGTCTCCTGCCCATTTCTTGATAGGATTTTTTCTTTTTTGGGTATTAAGTTTGATAAGTTCCTTATAGATTTTGTTTATTAGTCCTTTATCTGATGTATCATTTGCAAATATCTTCTCCCATTCTATAGGTTGCTTTTTAGTTTTGTTGATTGTTTCCTTATGTGGTATGATTCTTACTGAAACTACTGTGAATTAGGTATCCAGAATACTACAAACAGAGGTCAAGTCTTATTCTGAGTTAATGAGGTATCATTAATTTTGGTATTTATCTCTCTGAAATACGCTTAACAAACATGAATATGATTTGTAAAATGGTAATAAGCATACTGACAGAAACAACATATATTTAAGGAAGCTGATTACTGTCCCATACCTTTCCTCTCTCCTTTTTAATGAATGATTGTTTTGCTATCAAGAAGAAAGACTGGGGACAAAGCAAGTTGATATGTGACCTGTTATAATAACCTTACCATACTATTTTTAGGATTAAAAAAAAGTTAACTGTGGTAAAATACATATAACAAAATTTATCGTCCTAACCATTCCTAAAATTTAATTTTTGGGGTGCCTGGGTGGTTTAGTTGGTTAAGTATCAAACTCTTGGTTTTGGCTTAGGTCATGACCTCAGGGTCATAGACTGAGCCCCCTACATTAGTTTCTGCAGAACTCAGCGGGAATTCTGCTTGAGATTCTCTCCTCCTTCTGTCCCTCCCTGACTTTGAAATAAATAAATCTTTAAAATATTTTTAATTTTATTTTTTTAAAGATTTATTTATTATTCATTCATTCATTCACTCATTCATTCATTCATTGGAGACACAGAGAGAGGGGCAGATATACCGGCAGAGTGAGAAGCAGGCTCCCAGTAGGAGCCTGATGTGGGACTCAATCCCATGGATCATACCCAGGATCATGCCCTGAGCCAAAGGCAGAGGCTCAGCCTCTGAGTCACCCAGGCATCCCTTAATTTTTATTTTAAAAGTGGTCAGAATTCTTAACTTAAGATCTATTTTCTGAACAAATTTTTAACTGTATAATACAATATTGTTAACTATAGGCATGATGTTGTGTAGCAGATTTCTAGAACTTACCCTGTATCACTTAAATTTCAGACCTGTTAGCAACTTCCCATTTTGCCCTTCTCTATGACCCTGGCAACCCATGTTCTGCTCTCAGCTTCTATGAGTTTGACTATTTTAGATGCTTTATATAAGTGGAATCATGCAGTATTTGTCTTTCTGTGACTAGCTAATTTCACTTAGCATAATACATCTTAACCATTTTTTTAAAGGTTTTATTTATTTATTCATGAGAAACACAGAGAGAGAGAGGCAGAGACACAGGCAGAGGGAGAAGCAGGCTCCCTGCAGGGAGCCTGATGTGGGACTTGATCCCAGGACCCCGGGATCACGCCCTGGGCCAAAGGCAGGCGCTAAACCGCTGAGCCACCCAAGGATCCCCATCTTAACCATTTTTAAGTGTACAGTTCAGTAGTGTTAAGTTTATATGCGCTGTGGTGAAACCTATTTCCAGAACTCTTTTCATCCTGCAAAACTGTAACTCCATATATATTACACAAATCCTCTTTCCCTACCCAATATCCTAGCACCACCATTTTATTTTCTGTCTCTATGAATTTGATTAGTGGAATTATAAAGTATTTGTCTTTTCTTTTAGTTATATTTTTATTTACTTTCTTTTTGAGAGAGAGAGTGCAAGTGCACACACAAGGGGAAAAGGAGAGAAATAATCTCAAGCTGATTCCATGCTTAGCATGGAGCGTGATGTAGGGCTCGATCTCACAACTCTGAGATTATGACCTGAGCCCAAAACAAGAATCAGGCCCTTAACCGACTAAGCCACCCAGGTGCCCTGTATTTGTCTTTTTGTGACTTCTTTAATTCACCTAGCATAATGTCCTCAAGGTTTATCTTTATTGTAGTGTGTGTCAGAAATTCTTTTTTTTTTTTAATTTACTTATTCATGAGAAACACAGATAGAGACAGAGGGAGGAGCAGGCTCCATCCCAGTGTGGGACTCAATCCTGGGATTACACCCTGAGCCAAAGGCAGAAGCTCAACCACTGAGTCACTTAGGCATCCAAGAACTTCCTTCTTTTTAAAAGCCAAATAATATTCCATTGATACCACATTTTGTTTATCCGTTCTTCTATCAATGGACACTAGTTTGCTTCTACCTTTTGGCTATTGTGAATAATGCTGCTTGACAGGGGTATATGTCTCTCTTCAGGACCCTGCTTTCAATTCCTTTGGGTATACACTCAGAAGTGGAATTGCTGGAGCATACAGTAACCCTATTTTAATTTTTTGAGAGACCACCATACTGTTTTCCACAGTGGCTACAACATTTTACATTTCTACCAATAGTGTACAAGCATTCTAATTATTCTACATCTTAGCCAGCACTTATTATTTCTGTGGCTTTTTTTACAGTAGCCCTTTTAGTGGATATGCAGTGATATCTCAGTGTGGTTTTGATTAGCATTTCCCTAATGATTAGTAATGCTGGGCATCTTTTCATTATAATATGCTATTTTTATTTTTTCTCATCTTCTTTAACAAGAGCAAACATTTTGACTCACCTAGATACCAAACACAAAAAGCAAAAGACAGAGAAACAAAATCCATAGAGACTTTTACTATGTTAATTCTTAATTAATACCTAAGCAAGTCTTACTATAAGGAATAATCATGAATGTTCATCCTCTCTGTTAACATCCTAGCCACTACAAGTGGTCTCAAGCTTAATATGACAATATTATTAACACAGTAAATGCTGAAACTAACAGAAACTAATGTCTTATTAAAAACAAAAAAAAGGCAAGATAAAAAGAAAAAATGAAATTTGTGTGCTATATTGGAAAAAGCACTGAGCTAGAAATTAGATTATAGCTCAAATGTGAAGTCTGCTACTAACTAGCTGTGTGGGCCTAGATAAAAACCTCTTTGGACCTTTAACCTCTTTGGACCTCATATTTCTCATCTATAAAACTAAAGAATTGGATTTAAGATTACTGGTGAGGTCCTGTTGGTTTTAAAGCTTTATGAATCTAAAAAATAAATAAATAAATACAGCTTTATGGATCTATGAATCTGTTACTTATTCAGCATTCATTAAAATTTTAACACACACACACACACACACACCCCAGGTCCTGTGCTGAGTTATGGAAAAGTAGTGGTAAAGGAAACAAATATAGTCCCTCATCTATTGGGGATTAATGTCGACACAGACATTAAAACAAAAAACCCACAGAAATATAAAATTCAAGCTGTAGTGAGTGTTATGAAGGAAAACTATGTTAAAAAAACAAAACAGGGGGACACCTGGGTGGGCTCAGTGGTTGCGTGTCTGCCTTTGGCTCAGGTTGTGGTCCTGGGGCCCCAGGATCAAATCCCACATCAGGCTCTCCGTGGGAAGCCTGCTTCTCCCTCTGCCTATGTCTTTGCCTCTCTCTGTGTGTCTCTCATGAATAAATAAACAAAATCTTAAAAAAAAAAAAATAAACCCAACCACTAATCTAACCTAAGAATCAGGGAAGATTTCTTTGAGGAAGTATATTTGAGACCTGAAAGATTAGTTAAAAATTAGTCAGTTGGGTAGAGAGAAAGCAGTCTAGGCAGAATGTGTGCAGAGCCCCTAAAGCAAGAAAAAGCTTGAAGTATTTGAGAAATAAAAAGATTAGACAGACCATAATAGAGTCAGCACTCAGAATTATATGGTCTCCAAAAATATATGCATTTCATCAATCAATAAAATGTACTGAAAGTCAACTATACCAGGCACAATGAATTGAAAAAACACATGATAAAGTTCCTACCCTCAAGGAATTCTCAATTAATAATGGTAACTAGCAAACAATTATAAAGGAAGGAAGGTATTGAAGGATGATTTTCTAAGAGAAGTGATATCAACGTTGAGTCTTAAAGGACAAACAGGAATTATCCTACTAGTTCTGTGACCATGGGCAAATTTTTTAACCCCCTTAAGATATAATTTTCTCATCAGTAAAAACAATAGGGTTAAGAACTATGTCTCATGTGGTAGTTGAAATGATAAAAAAGAAAAAAAAAAAAAAAGGCGGGATCCCTGGGTGGCGCAGCGGTTTAGCGCCGCCTGCAGCCCAGGGCGTGATCCTGGGGACCCAGGATTGAGTCCCACGTCAGGCTCTCTGTGTGGTGCCTGCTTCTTCCTCTGCCTGTGTCTCTGCCTCTCTCTCTCTGTCTCTATGAATAAATAAAATAAAAAAAATAATAAAAATAAAACTACTTAAAAAAAGAAATAATTTATGATGTTCTCTCTTTCATATAGCTAATGAAGTTCCTGACTTAAAATTATCACTGAATATAGTCATCTATAAAGCATTTGTACTAGAGACTTACCTGAACTGCTTCATTCCCACCTCTGAGGTCCTGAAGAGGACTCCTTGGGGGTTTCAAAATCTAGATGAATTAGGATTATTCAAGAAAATTGGGGATTAATATTAATAACCAACTAAAATTACATCACAGGAGAAAAGGTAGAGATGTTAAAATTTCTGTGAAAACCTCTAAAACTCCTCAAATTTATACTGTTCAGTACTATACTTTATGGCCAGTTTAAATATCTGGCACCTATTCCCTTCTCCCTGCCCACCTTCTACAACTATTTTGCCTTATCTCATCTCATGTGGTCTGCGTAAAGCTCTACCTCAGCCCTATGGTACAACATGTAGAGCTGGTCTAGGACAATATGCAAATGATATTCTCTCATCAATATTAGGAAGGAAGACTTGATTCATAACAAGATAATAGAGCTAATATGATTCAATCCTGAGTCTTTTGTTTTTGTTTTATTTTGAGTAAATAGACCCTTTTTCATTTAGGACTTGAAACTGTAAGTTAAAAGAACTGGAGGTACTGTAGTACTCATGGGGAGAGAGCCCGTCTGAAAATGGAGATTACGCAGAGGAAGCAGTCAGAGTGGAAAAGTGAGAGAAAATCCTAGTATTGGTGATATTATTGGACGCCCTGGTCAGTTACATTGTGCAAAAGTCATCCCTATCTCTGGATTTTTCAGTTTCAAAACCCAATAGATTTTGTGCTTAAATCAGTTTGAGTTGAATTTTTTGTCTTACTACACTAAATATATACTTAAACTTTATTGAAGTATAAATTACATAACATACAATTCTCAAAATTGCCATGAAATTCATAAAGTACAAGTTTTAGTATATTTATAGAATTGTGTAACCAAGTACATATCTGAGTCTTTATCCAGACAGCAATAGGAGCCAGTGGGAATGGGATGGTGATGTTAGAGTTAAAATTACTGTGGCATATAGTCATCATTCAATAAAAAGTAATTATTAATTTAAGTGTTTCTTACAGAGGAATGTCGTCTTCTAACAGGTCTCTCCATATTGTCACTGAAAAAGGAAAAAAAAAATTTACAGACATATTGGTAAAAGACTGAATTTTCAAGTCATCACCACAGCATCCTCTACATGCTTTTAAATTGGCCATCACTTTCACTTAACACATGGCATCACCCTCACTTAGCAAAATTTATAAGACATTAAATTCAGGATTTAGAAGACTAGTGTTTTAAAATACATATTGTATACTATAAGAATATCTCTTGAAAAACAATCATTGTAACATAATGTATCATATTTATAGAGGTACAATGATAAGATAAATGGGTCATAAACCAAGAAACTAGCTCTGGTTTTACTACTCTGTGATTTTTAAATCTGGTTTTAAAAATTCAAATGCTGGGGATCCCTGGGTGGCGCAGTGGTTTGGCGCCTGTCTTTGGCCCAGGGCGCGATCCTGGAGACCCGGGATCGAATCCCACGTCAGGCTCCCAGTGCATGGAGCCTGCTTCTCCCTCTGCCTGTGTCTCTGCCCTCTCCTCTCTCTCTCTCTCTCTCTCTCTCTCTCTCTCTCTCTGTGACTGTCATAAATAATAAAAAAAAAAAAATTAAAAATTCAAATGCTGGGACGCCTGGGTGGCTCAGCAGTTGAGCATCCACCTTTGGTTCAGGGCAGAGGTTCTAGGATCGAGTCACATCGGCCTCCCTGCAAGGAGCCTGCTTCTCCCTCTGCCTATGTCTCTGCCTTCTCCCTGTCTCTCATGAATAAATAAATAAAATCTTAAAAAAAAATTCAAATGCCTATGGAGGCCAAACAGATCAGCTAGTAGATGTAAGAAAAATAGGCGGTGTTGAGATGATAACAGAGAATTCCTGCTTGGTCAAACTGTCACAATCATTCAGATCAGGTTAGCTGTTGCCATAAGAATATGAGCCCAATGTTGCTACACTCAATTTTTCTTTCTCTTTCTTCTTCAAGATTTTATTTATTATTTTAGAGAAAAATAAAGAGAGTGTAACAGAAGAAGGATCAGAGGGAGAGAGAGGATCTCAAGCAGACTCTGCACTGAGTGCAGAGTCCTACGCGGGGCTGGATCTCATGACCCAGAAATCATGACCTGAGCTGAAATCTAGTGCAGGATGCTCGAGGGCGCCTAGTTAAGCTCAGTCGGTTAAGCATCTGCCTTTGGCTCAGGTCCTGATATCAGGGTGCTGGGATTGAGCCCCATATTAGGCTCCCTGCTCAGCAGAGAGTCTGCTTCTCCCTTCCCCTCTGCCATTTCCCGTTTGTACTCTCTCTGTCAAACAAATAAATCTTAAAAAAAAAAAAATAGGAAATATAAGCATAGAAACTTAAAGAGTCCTCAAAGAATTACAGTGCCTCGATTTTGTTTAAACAGATTCTCTTTTAAACTATAGCATAAGGGAGTCAGTGTTTTACTTTTGGACTATAATAATTTTAGGTAACACTAATATAAAAATACTAGATTTGGATGTTCAACTGACTGAGCCACCCAGGTGGCTCTACACTCAATTTTTCAAGAGAAAGTTTTAACAATTAATTCAAAAATTTAAAAACACTGTTTAAGGGGAAATAAAAGTCTGTAGGCTATAAACAGGCCACCAATTTGTGATGCCAATTTTAGATCAATCATTTCATTTCCTTCGGCCTCAATTTTCCTATCCTTAAACTGAAGGGATGAGAGGTGGTCTCTAAAGTCCCTCTTAGTTTTGACTCTAGATATATAAACACAAAGATATGGCAAAGAAAGCTATGACTTTGTAACATTTATTTCTTTTCCCTGGAACAGAATGGAAAAAGATTTCAGAAGTTATCAATAGGTCTTACTAGTAGGAAAAGTATCTTTCTCTGATAAAGAGTTTAACATTTTTAGCTATACTTCATGAACTTACTTCTCTTCATTAGTCTCTGAAGACATCCCATCCATTTTTGAAGAAAACCTTTTTCTGTAACAAATACACAACATTAGAACAGGTGAAAAAGAAAGAAAAGAAATTAAAAACTATGAAGAGATTAATAGCAAAGTTGTAACTTCAGGATTACTTTCTGGGGGAAGACCAGAAAAAGGGAAGAAAAAGTTATACCATGGAGCTATAAAACATGAAATGAGAAATTCTGAATTTAAAGTACTCCATTATAATTAATATTTCTGGAAAAGTCTTATATTCGATATAAAATCAGTGACTAACTCTGGGATGATTTGGGCATTAATGGTTCAAATAAAAATTTGATCTAGTTTATAGGAACTTATGGATTATATAATTCAGTCCCAAAGTGAAATCAATTAGGTATCAAAAAACAGTGGATGTTAAAAAAAAAAAAAAAGAAAGAAACAGTGGATGTGCATAACATACATGTTTGTTATGAAAATTCAACTATTACTACTCAGCAAAAAAACCTTCCGACCTAAGAATAACATTTTTAAAAATGTAGCCGATTATGTTTACAAATCTACTCAGTGAGTATTTGTCTTGGAAAGAGTATGAAATAAGAGGCATAACCTGAAGTTTCCTCAATTGGTCTCACTTCCTACCTACCTATAACTATACTAAATGTTCATTTTATGCATTAACTTTAGAACTTCACCTCTGGGTAAGAAAATTTTCTACTGTAGAATTCAAAAAACAGAAGAACTATATATTTTGACCCAATAACATAAGCATTTCTACCACAACACTAATACTATATATATAAGCTGCTAAATCAATGTTCTTATTTTGGAAGTAAAAAAACAAAAAGCAAACCAAAGAAGAAACCAAGTACTTAAAAGATACCTTATTTTACATGCTTTCATCACATATAACAAAAGCCAAGTTAGGAAACAATAGGTAATAATGAATCTGAACTTCAAACTGAAATAAAAATCTGTTTTTTTCTTTTGTTTTTAAAGATTTTTTAATTTTTTAAAAATAATCTCTATACCCAATGTGGGACTCAAACTCATGACCCTGAGATCCAGAGTTGTGTGTGCTTCCAATTGAGCCAGCCAGACACCCCAGAATCTGTTCGTTTTTTAGTATCAGTTTATTCAAGTAATTGTCAAAACAGATAAGATAATGGGCATCTTCTAATATTTGATTTCTCACCTTCCCCTTTCATCCTCTATTACTTTCTCAGTCTGTTTATCCATTCTTCTGGTTTCACTTACCTCCTGTTCACAGATAACACCCATATCTACTTACAATAATATTTTTAGGAATAGATTTTTCAAGATTAGTTTCTTAAAACAGTACCCCTACACTCAATATCCTTCTCAAAAACAACCACTTTTGCCATTTTAAGCCAATTATGTTGTATTTAAAAAAAAAAAAAAAGAAAGCTCTTACCTGCAACCACCTTTATCTCACATATAGACTTGCAGGCCCACCACACCAAGTAAATATAGTACAAGAAAAGAAAGATCACATGCCAATTTTAGCACCATAAATATAAAAATCCTCAATAGATAGCAAAAAGAAGCCAACACTTTGTAAAGAGCATAATATACCTTAGTTACACTGGTTTTATTCTGGTAACACAAAACTTGTTCAACATTAAAAAATCAATTTTACAATTTACCATACTAACAGATTAAAAGGGAAAAACCGTATAATCATCTCAACAGATGAAAAAAACACCCTTTCCAGTTTAAAAAAGAAAAGCCTAACAAACTAGGAAGAGAAGGTAAATCCCTTAATCTCACAAACAGTCTGTTTAAAAAACCAATTGCAGAGAGGTACGGAGGAATATGGCAGAGGAGTAGGGGATCCTGGTTTCATCTGGTCCATGGAATTCAGCTAAATAGCTATAAAATCATTCTGAACACCTACAAATTCAACTGGAGATCTAAGACAAGAATTGCTGCAATTTTACAAATAGAAAAGTGACCACTTTTTGCAAGGTAGGAGGTGCAGACAAGTGAACAGGAGGCAATATATTGGAAGATAAACCCTGGAGGGAGGGAGTCTCCATAGGCCAGCTACCAGAAAGTGATATAGCAGTGGAATGCAAAATTGGAACTTTTAGAAGTCTGCTCTGGGAGATCCCTGCCTGAAAGGTGCTCAGGTAGCAAAGCAGGGGGGGAATCCTAGGTGAGACAGCATGGTCTCAGGATCCACAGGGTCACAAAAAGAATGGAGGTGCTGAGTGCGGCAGAGCTTCCAGGCATTGGAGCAGGGAAGCCTGCTGCAAACAGCAAGCTCAAGAGTAGGCTTTCTGCTCCGTGTTGCCATAAACCACCAACCACAGCACACACTGTTGAGCAACCACCCTCCAAGCAGGGGCCCAACAAGTGGCAGAACCATGGGGAGATCCCCACCATCTCTCTCAGAAGGAGTGGCACCAGGGTGCACCACAGGAGACAGCAGGCTTTGGAGATTCAAAGCAAGGTTATGTGCCTGATACAGAAATGCTCAGTCACAGGCTAGGTGAGCACTGAGTGTGGACAAAAACCAGGAAGACAGGAATGATTGCTTTTCTGTGAGGGCTCACTGAAGAGGGGGGTGAGAATTTTCAGGTCTGGGGCTGGAGATCCGGTTGGTATAATTTTCATTTTCATATCAATTTCCATCCCCCAAAGTAGTGTGAAAAGCCTTCAGGGAACAAACACCACATAGAGCAATCTGGAGCTGCTTACACTGAGCCTGGCCCCTTGGCAAGGAGGGTACAATTCCTCCTGGAGAAAGACTCCTGAGAATCAGTGCAATAGGCCCCTCCTCCAGAAGACCAGCAGGAACAATGGCTAATATCAAGTTTACTAATAACACCTAACTGCAAAACTCCAGCGTAGGGAAAAATAAATAGTATATAGAATTAGTGGGTTTTTTTTCCCTCATGATTCTTTCAGTTAAAAATTATTCTTTTCTTTTCAACTAATTTCTTATTTTATCGACTTTATTTAGGTTTTTTTCTTTTCATTTTTATATTTACATTTTTTTTTCATTTTTTACTTCCTTTCATTGTATTTAATTTTATTTTCATATATATATATTTCGTTAGAATTTTGGGATCTAGTTTCTTCTAACAGATGAAAATATACCCAGGATCTAACATATTGTTCTGTCTGTTCTGTTCATCTGTTTGATTATATTCTCTTTTTTTCCTTTTTCTTTTTGGCTTCTGGTTTCTTCTGATTTGTTTAATATATATGTTTCTGGGGTCATTTCTGCTATTTCTGCATTTTGCTCTCTCATTCATCTATTCTTCTCTGGACAGAATAACAAGACAGAAGAATTCACCCCAAAAAGAGAACAAGAGGCAGTACTAACTGTCAAGGACTTAATCAATACAGATAAGTAAGATGTCAGAACTTGAATTCAGAATAATGATTATAAAGATACTAGCTGGATTTGAAAAAAGTATTGAAGACACTAGAGAATCCCCTTCTTGAGAAATAAAAAAACTAAAATTTAATCAGGTTGAAATAAAAAAGGCTATTATTGAGATACAATAAAAAATGGAGGCTGTAGTTCCTAGGATAATGAAGCAGAAGAGAGAATTAGTGCTATGAAAGACAAAATGATGGAGAATGAAGAAAAAGAAAGATAAATAACTACCGGATCACAAGGGGAGAATTTGAGAGATAAGTGATACCATAAAGCAAAACAATCTTAGAATAATTGGGATCTCAGAAGAGGAAAGAGAGAGAGGGGGGCAGAAGGTATATTTGAGCAAATTATAGCAGAGAATTTCCCTAATCTGGGGAAGGAAATAGGCGTTCAAGTCCAGGAGAACCTCCCTCAAAAATCAATAAAAACTGGTAACACCTTGTCATATAAATAGTGAAGACTGCAAATTTCAGAGACAAAATCCTGAAAGCACTGCAGCACAAGAGGTCCTTAACCTACAAGGGTAGGAACATAAGGTTGGCAATAGACCTATCCCTAGAGACCTAGCAGGCCAGAAAGTACTGGCATGATATATTCAAGGTGCTAAATGAGAAAAATATGCAGCCAAGGCTGTCATTCAGAATAGAAGGAGAGATGAAGAGGTTCCAGGACAAACAGAAACCAAAAGGATATGTGATCACTAAATTAGCCCTGCAAGAAATATTAAAGGGGATCCTTTACATGAATAGAAAGCCCCAAAATAACATAGACCAGAAAGGAACAGAGACAATATTCAGAAACAGTGACTCTACAGGTAATACAATGGCAATAATTTCGCATATTTCAATAGTTAGTCTAAATGTAAATTGGCTAAATTCTCCAATCAAAAGACATAGGGTAGCAGACTGGATTAAAAAAAAAAAAGGAAAAAAAAAAAAAAGCAAGACTCATCATTATGGTATCTGCGAGAGACTCATTTTATACCCAAAGACACCTCCAGATTCAAAGTGAGGGAGTGAAGAACCTTCTATCATGTTAATGGACATCAAAAGAAAGCTGGGGTAGCAATCCTCATATCAGACAAATTAGATTTTAAACCAAAGACTGTAAGAAGAAATGAAGGACACTGTATCATAATTAAAGGGTCTATCCAATATGAAGAGCTAACAATTATAATTTTTTTAAAATTTTTATTTATTTATGATAGTCAGAGAGAGAGAGGGGGGGGGCAGAGGGAGAAGCAGGCTCCATGCACCGGGAGCCCGATGTGGGATTCGATCCCGGGTCTCCAGGATCGCGCCCTGGGCCAAAGGCAGGCGCCAAACCGCTGTGCCACCCAGGGATCCCAGATCTAACAATTATAAATATTTATGCCCCTAACATGGGAGCAGCCAATTGTATAAACCAATTAATATCAAAATTAAAGAAACATGTTGATAATAATACAATAGTAAGGGACCTTAATAAGGAAACAAGGGCATTGAATGAGACATGGACCAGATGGACTTCACAGATATCATTCAGAGCATTCCATCCTAGAGCAACAGAATACACATTCTTCTCAAGTGCACATGGAACATTCTCCAGAATAGATCACATAGTGGGTCATAAATCAGGTCAACCAGTACCAAAAGACTGGG